AGAATAGCAAACTTATACGCACTACTAGCCAAGATAGGTCGTTCTTTACCTAGCCCTTATATCACAACCAGAATAGCAAACGTACTGCATCAACAGATAGGTCGTTCTTTACTGCCCTTATATACACAACCAGAATAGCAAACGTATGCATCAATAGATAGGTCGTTCTTTTCTGCCCTTATATACACAACCAGAATAGCAAACGTATGCATCAACAGATAGGTCGTTCTTTACTGCCCTTATATACACAACCAGAATAGCAAACTTATGCATCAACAGATAGGTCGTTCTTTACTGCCCTTGTATACACAACCAGAATAGCAAACTTATGCATCAGCAGACAGGACCAGAATAGCAAACTTATGCATCAGCAGATAGGTCGTTCTGCCCTTATATACACAACCAGAATAGCAAACTTATGCATCAGCAGATAGGTCGTTCTTTTCTGCCCTCATGAATACCCCGTGTGTCTTCCCGAGTGAGTGCTTACACGCGTGCTGTATTTTGGGCTGGTCTGGTCTGCTTCGGATGGAGCCAACAACAAACCAAAATAGATAATACTAGTTATGTAAGTATATGGCGATATGCACCATAGCAGCCGAATATCTTCCACATTGGCCCAAGGCGTATATCCTATCCACAAGAAGTAAATAAACTCAAGTACACTCAGTCGAGTATATGGTACATGCTGTGTGGTAATTGCATTACACGCACACTCAGTCGAGTATCTATAAATAGATCTCATATATCTATAAATAGACCGCTCTTCACTGCCCTCTTCACTGCCTCGTGCCTCTATGAGTCGGTGCTTGCCCGCGTGTCTTATCGCAGCGAGTTTGCGCTAGTCCACTTCAGACGGTCTCATCAACCTGAGATATGATATGCTTGCGCAAATACAATGCTCCTCTATGGCCGTACGTAGTTTCTTGCCCAGTGTCTTCTGTATGATGGGTATATCTACCTTCGGATAGCGTATGCACAGGACTATGTAGCCTACCAGACGCTTCCTTAGCATCGTGTGGCATACTAGTCGATCTGCAGGTCAACAACTATCTACGCGTCGTTGAATATGCCTCGCGAAAAAGCCAACATTGTAAACTGAATTGTTATTAATAGCACATTTGGTTTATTGAACTTCTCAATTTAAACTAATTTGCTAGTGAACCCCATGCAAACTCTGCCTATTCTAGGTCTGGCGAAAAAGTGCGCCGCGCTTTCGATTGCACAGTATAGTGCAGCAATAATACTCAACTCCTCCTTCTTCAATGTATAGCATCTCGAGTGTTTACAGTACACCTTATCATTTTCTCTTGTCGTTTAATACAGTCCAACCCCTTCTCGCCGCACGTGAAATGAACTCTAAAATAATTACCATCATCATCATCATCACTGGAGGCGTGATTGCGGGGTCTAACGCTCATGGAATCTCTCCAGATATCTTTATTTGAATCTGCAATATATGATGCGCAGGCTTCACATCACCTTCTCATGACTACTATCGCACTATAATGTCTTCTTCCTTCAGTATCTTTCAATTTATTTGAAAGGAACGTCAGAGGGGTTTGCTGTCAGCGGAATTTGGAACACATTGTATTTTTCCCCACATTATCAAAAGAGGGTACATTTCCATACAATAATTATAGGACAATTTTTATAGGTTCTCTTAACTTACTATAGTTTGGATCCATGACAATGGTAGCTTGGACCCAGAGTGTGCGAACTCAGAAATAGGTCGAATAACATCATCACATGTTTAAGCATGTATGTGTGTGAGAGTATATATAGATATAGATATAAAATCTGAACAGATAATGTTACGGGCGATTTCCTATGCTGCCTGTCGCCAAGGAGTCTGATTGATCAGTGTGCATGTTTGCTATACATCAGATATTTAATGGAAAATGCTAAAGATTTCGTTAGGCATGTGGGGTTGATTCTTCATGAGCACTGCTGTTAACTTTGCGACTGTACATCGATCTCAACGGTAGCCGGCTTTGTTGTACAAACATTCTTCTCCAGACAAGAGAGGGATTGAGCACGGCTCACCCCTTCCCCAGCATGTTATCAGCATTAGAGCTATACTTGTTTAATTGTTTAGACCTACGTTTACATCACTATCTAATTTATACTATGACCTGGCAGCAGCGTCGCGCATTCTATCTTCCTCGGCGATCCGGCCCGGGTCCTAAGAAGACGCACCCACTAACTAAAGTCCCGCTCAATGAAGCTGTGCTTTATAGACCACACGGTAGTGCAGTGTGATATCTTCCGCGGATGTCCACAGATGATATTTAATAGCCCCTAAGGTCGTCCGCGTGAGGAGTGGCTGAGAGGTGTGACCAAGGAGAGACAGCGGAGACGTGTGAGTATACATTGGCGGGGATATTTAATACTTGCATCGAATGTTCGCTTCCAACACAGGAATATGACTTATACCTTGGCGTCAAAGTGCACGCTCAACGTACACCCCGACGGAGAACAGTGGCAGAGTAAGGTGTATTGTGGAAAGCTTGTCAATCTATGCACATATACACCGGTCAATTTTATCAGTCAGGGGGGAACTAGAACGAAAACTGAGCATACGACACATGTACGACGGGAGCATTCGAATATGCTGACACGCCCTGAAACACTCACACATCCATTCGCTCATACATTTCTCAGCCAACGTTTGAAAGTGTTTGCAATGCTGTGCGTGCGAGGAGAAGACAGCCTTGCACACACACGGGTGTCGTTCTGGGGCAATATCACAGCTGGTAATTGCAGGGCGAGTTATAGAGTGAGCAATTAACGCCAGGGTATCCAGCGCGCGTACTCGAGGCTTCTATTCGAGTATTGGTACGATGGTGATAGATGCTAGAAACAAACTCCGTGTATTGGCATTTTGTTGACACATATGTACGCGGAGAGTACAAAGACTCAGCAAAGCAGCGAGGAGTGCGTTGTGTGTGTGTGTGAAGTTTGGGATACCTTGCCCATACAAAGCAGCTCCAAATAATCTCCGGGGGTGTCCTCCATTTCCTGCTGTGTGGCGTCGAATCGAAACAACTCTCTTAAGGTCGGGCCCACTTTCTCAACTATGTACCTGGATGCGCAGGGGTGGTGTTTTGACTATGAGTGTAACGATTTAAAACCATAATGCAAGTCATATGCAAGTTAGACTCGATGAACTGAAACGTCGAAGGACGTGCAGAAATCTCAGCCATGGACTGCACAGTGAGGTTGGAGTTAACTGGATGGGTCCCTTAAGCTATCAGGGCGCTCATATAATCAGTGCGAAGATTGGAGACGAGGCTATTTACACACACATACATAAAACAATACTATAAGTGAGATTGAAAATGGTGTGCAGGTGTAACATGTATCGTATGCAGTGAGTATTGAGCCTATAAAAGTTCCGAAAAAGAGTGTGATGTGACTAACGTAACCAGACCCGGCTCTGCCCTTGCGATTTTGCTGCTCGCTGCTAGGTATCGTTGTGGATGCAAATACCTACCAAAGTTGTTTCTAGACACCACCGCCCCTCTCCTTTCTCAGTAGTTCTAAACAGCACAATACCACACATACCTCAGTATCCGCCTCACCCGAAGAGCTCTACTAGCAGACAGGCGGTTGCTGCGGTGATCAAGTGCAAGGAGTGTGAAAAGTGTCAATCGTCGTGTCAATGCGACATCCGCCGAACAATCCAGATACTATGTGGCATGTCAACTGGCAATCGGATCATCATCTCGAGTAAAAGTTTGATGCAGTAAATATTGTATATTTAACACAGGCTGCCAATCAAATCATATATACATACACACACACACACACA